AATTTCTTTTCTATACAAAGGGTAAGATGGTTAATGGTTAATGGTTGAAAGTGAAATAAATGTGCTAGACATCTAAGGTCATATAGCACTATAGGAAGGTATAGTAAAGGGTGATGGTAGGCGATAGCTGCTATGTGTCAACTATCTAGAGTAATGTTGAAAGGTTAAAGATGGGTAAGGGAGTTGATGAGGGAATTGGTTATGGTGGTTTAGGTAAGGGAATTAGATCAAGTGAAGGATATTTATGACTCTGAGGAAGGAGAAAATGCTGTCAATGCAGCTGTGGGATTCTGTAAGGATGCCTGATATGTTGGGAGGTCGGTGAAGGGAGGATAGGTGGGGGAAAGCAGAGGTGTGGGCTGTAGTAAAGCGTGGACAGGACAACAGAATGTGTGGAACTGAAAGAGGGACATTACATGGTATAGTAAAGGGTGATGGTAGGCGATAGCTGCTATGTGTCAACTATCTAGAGTAATGTTGAAAGGTTAAAGATGGGTAAGGGAGTTGATGAGGGAATTGGTTATGGTGGTTTAGGTAAGGGAATTAGATCAAGTGAAGGATATTTATGACTCTGAGGAAGGAGAAAATGCTGTCAATGCAGCTGTGGGATTCTGTAAGGATGCCTGATATGTTGGGAGGTCGGTGAAGGGAGGATAGGTGGGGGAAAGCAGAGGTGTGGGCTGTAGTAAAGCGTGGACAGGACAACAGAATGTGTGGAACTGAAAGAGGGACATTACATAGGGTATATAGGGGCGGGTCAGAGTGTGACATTAGATAGGACTGTGTTAGGCGGGTGTAGCCAATACATAAGTGTGCGAGGCCCGTCTCCCAACATCAGTTCCGGTGAAATGGAACTGATGAAGAGGAGATTAATGGTTTTACAGTATGTAATCTACTATTGTGGAGACTTGACCAGAAAGATTGCCATCAGGTATATAAGATTTTAAAGTAGGGGTAACAATCTATGGCTGGAATATGTAAGAAGCATGGTTGGTGTGATGTGGATATAGCGGCATAGCGTGCTAGAGTATCTGCCTGTTCTTTGCCAGGGATTCCAACATAGATGGGCACCCAGCAAAATCTAACAGATTTATGACATGTGGACAGGTAGTACAACCAGTTCTGGATCTTACAGATAAGGGGATTGGTCGAGTGCATTGACTTTATAAGGGTTAATGAGTTACGGAAGTCAGTAAAAAGTGAAAGAGGAAGAAGGGAGGCAGTATATGAGTTTTAAGGCAAAAAGGAGTGCATACAGCTCTGTAGTAAGGACACTAGACTGAGGAGGGAGGGTGTATTTGAAAGTGCGATTTGGGATGGTTACTGTGAATCCAGCTCCTGAGGTGGATTTGGAACTGTCTGGAGGAATGAATGGAGACATGGTCAAGGAAATGAGTGAGAAGGATAGAGGGGGGAATATCTGATTTTCTTGGGTCAGGGAAAAGAGAGGAGCAAATATGGGGGTGAGGGATAAGCCATGGAGGAATGGAATGGGCAGAAAATGTGAGAGGTCGGTGGTGAAAAAAGGAGGAATGGGAGAGGAGGGTATCCATGCATACGGAGAAAGGAGAAGAGGTAAAGGTAGGAAGCAGGGATTGTGGGATAGTTATTTTGAGGCAGCCAAGTAAGTCTTCTCCACAATCTGAGCAATCTTTAGTATCAACTGGGCAGTTTGCTGGGGAGATAGAAACAGTTCCAGTACAAGTACTAAGAATTGGATGAGGTTCTGCAGGAATGGGGTTGCCAGAGAGATCAGTTAGATTTGTTAATGCTATAGCTTCAGTTTCAGATGTGACTGTTATGAGACAGGAGCGATCGCATCAGGTACGGAAAGGGACTCAGCCTACTTGTTTTTGGAGGCAATGTTGAAAGCGGAAAGTGTTGCCTGAGTAAAGAGCTGTAGAAGGAATCATGAAAAATCAGTCCCATTTAGCTGGGCTAGAGTATTTGAAGATATTTGTAAGGTTGGTGGTGTTAGATGATTGGGGATGTGTGGAAGAAAGAGTATTGTTGAGGGGGGTAGTATTACAGAGAGATGGAGAATAAGGTTGTAGAGTAGTATTAAGGGAGGATGGGGTGTTTGATGAAGAAGGTTGTGGGGGTAGAGGTGATGAAGTTGAGGAAGTTGGGAGAGTAGGAATGTTTTCTGGAGACTGAGTCTTGGTTTAATTGGTTTAATGCACGAGTAGATATTGAGGAGTGGGTAGTAGTTGTAGTGTTCAGACTTATGGTCAAAGGAGAGCCTGGGGTCGGGGAGCCAGGAGAGTTTGAATTGGTGGGGCTGTTTGATAAGGGGGCAAGCCTTATTGCCCCTAATAACAGTATTACATCTTCATTACTGGTCATGGGAAGCCTTGATTATATTGGGGAAATATAATCAATCAAATTTGCCTATTCCAATATTAGTCTAGCAGCTATGCTTGTGAGTAAACAATCATGCCCTTGTGTTTCTTCACATTCAGCATTCTATGCTTAGCTTAAAATGTTATACAATGCAAGTCAAGATGTGGAACTAACATTCCCTTCATCATAAAAGTTCATATGGCAGAAACCACACTGAAAAATATTCCTAAACATTCTTCATTCTTCATCCATTATTTGTGTTAGTAAATTATATATGTCATCTGCTAGGCATACCACCTTTCAGTCCAGTAGCATGCGTGTACTACACGAAAAATGAAAGTATTGTGCTACTGCCCATTCCACTGAAATTATGTACTTTATAGTACTATAAAATACTAAATGGAAGGATACTGTTTGCGTCCTGGCTGTTCCATAGATTAATGCAGAGAAAATTGAGAGCAAACTAGAGCAAATAAATACAGCAAAACACAATTGTGGAAGTGATAATGGCTTCAAAGGGAAGCATCTGAGAACACTGAAGAGGCTGTTGTACACTGAAGGGCAGTTTCTACATTGCCTGGTGAGATGTTCTGAGATACTTCCATAGGAATGAACTTTTTGCTTTGGCTAGCAAATACTATTTCAAAGAGCAGGCATGTAAATTATATACAACTGCTTCTGTACAACATTTCATTATTCTTTTAAAAAACTCTTGCTAATAAAATAATGTACTTAGATGCACACAATATATATCATACAGTATAACCTCTAAAATTTATGTCATGTTACATTTTAAAGCAACTTGTTATCTATCCTTTTTCTGGAAGACATATAAATACATTTTTTGCAGTACTTATTATAAAAATGAGCTGTGTTTACACTTTTAACTCAAACGCAAGTAATTTTCTAATTATCTATTCTAGTAATATTCCTCCAACAATTTCTAAATACAAACATCACACGAAAACATAATGCATCTTTTAGGTATGTACTCTTCTCATGTGCTTGTTTAGGTTGCTGATCCCAGAGAATGTCCTACTACATACCTTACAGCAATAAGGCTTCTCATGTGTATGGACTCTCATATGATCCTTTATTGTACGTTTTCTGGCGAAAGCTTTGCCACATATCTCACACATAAAAGGTTTCTCTTTTGTATGAATTCTCACATGGGCCACTAAATTACTTCTTATGGTGAAACCCTTACTGCAAATCTCACATTTATATGGCCTCTCTTTTGTATGTATTCTCATATGAACAACAAGAGCATATTTTGAAGATAATACTTTACTACATATCTCACAGGTGTATGGTTTCTCCTCTGAATGCGATCTTACATGTTCCATTAGATCCTGTCTTGAAGTAAAATCCTTACTACAAATCTCACATCTATGTTGAGTCTCTTTTGTATGCACTTTCATATGTGCAACAAGAGCCTGTTTCACAGAAAATGCTTTATTACATATCTCACACTTGTAAGGCTTCTCATTTGTATGCAATCTCATGTGACATACCAGACTCCACTGCTGAGTGAATGATTTCTCACAAACTTCACATTTATAAGGCTTGTGTTTTGTATGCACTACTACATGCTTTGCTAAATGACTTCTCCGCGTGAATGCCCTACTACAGAGCTTACAACTATAAGATTTCTCTTTAGAAATTAAATTCACACGTCCAATAATATGATCTTCCTCAGAAATTTCCTTGCTATAGCCCTCAGAGGTATTTGATTTCTCTTCTGTGTGCAAGCTCATGTGCTCAATTAGTATGTGTCTGCTGGAAAAATCCTTGTTGCAGACTTTACAACTAGAAGATTTTTCTTCTGTATGTGCTCTCATATGCACAATTAGACCCCGTTTCTTTGAGAAGGCCTTGCTACAAACCTCACATTTGTGGGGCCTTTCATCTGTATGTATTTTTATGTGATCTAACATTTGACTCTTATATGAGAATTTCTTGCCACATATTTCACAAACAAGTTTCCCCTTGCTATCTACTCTTGCATATGTTCCCTCTTTATCATTTGCAAGTGTCCCCTGATCAACCACTTTTAATGGATCTTCACTTTCACTAATTGTAATATCTGAGTCACTTCCACTTGTTTCCTCATTGCTAAATTTTGTTTTTTCAGATATTGAGCACTCACTATTACCTACATCCTCTTCAGTCTTAACAAAAACAGCATTCATCCCTTCTACATAATCAGAACTTTCTTCCTTTATATCCAAACAGTTTTCCTCACTAATATCATCCTTTTTCTCTTCTTTAATGGCAATGAGATTGTTTGCATCAGGTACAATAATATCCTCACTGACTTCGTCCTTTTTTCTTTCGTTTATGGTAGTGAGTTCTTCACTAGCATCAGGCACAATAGTATCCTCACTGACTTCATCCTTTCTCTCTTCTTTTATGGCAATGAGTTCTTCACTAGCATCAGGCACAATAGTATCCTCACTGACTTCATCCTTTCTCTCTTCTTTTATGGCAATGAGTTCTTCACTAGCATCAGGCACAATAGTATCCTCACACATATCGTCCTTTTTCTCTTCTTTAATGGCAATGGTCTGGACGGTGTTTTCAGACCCAATGGTGTCCTCACTGATATCACTTCTATTCTCTTCTTTAATGGTAATGAAGTGGATGGCGTTGCCAGGCTTTTTGGTATCCATGCCCGAATCATCCATGATAGCAGTTAAAGACATCACACAGGAATTGTACAACACTAGCTGTGAAACAAAGGGAAACAATGAAAGATAATCATTCTTAGGTTCACGTTCTCTATTCTCGATTCTGAAGAAAAATAAAGAAAAGAATATCTCTTACTTACTAAAAACTGAATTTTAAATACATATATCCAGAAAATCAGTATATTGCACAATGTGATAATGAAAGAGAAAAATGCAAAATTAAAATTCCAAATAGCAACTTACTGGTGACTTCAAGCTGATAAATGTTCAATTTTCTGGACTTTATATTACATGCAAAATGTTCAAGTTGCAGAATCTGTCAAAAAAAAAAAAAAAAAAAAAAAAAAAAAAAAAAAAAATATATAATATATATATATATATATATATATATATATATATATATATATATATATATATATTATATATATATATATATATATATATATATATATATATATATATATATATATATATATCTTCGACCAAACTTCCCAGCTTACATAATATGATTAAAATGGACTCTAACAATATAAAATTCTTTGTAGATATGTGCACTAGCTTTATGCATGTGTGTGTGTGTGTGTGTGTGTGTGTGTGTGTGTGTGTGTGTGTGTGTGTGTGTGTGTGTGTGTGTGTGTGTGTGTGTGTGTGTGTGTGTGTGTGTTATGTATGTATGTGTATGTGTATGTATGTATGTACGTATGTATGTATATGTATGTATGTATGTATGTATGTATGTATGTATGTGTGCGTGTGTGTGTGTGTATCAATTTCATGTATTATGAAAGGAAAATTGCTCTACCATGTTGATACTATGTTAGAAAACCCCACAATTATTGAAATATATGAGACAGTTTTGGAATCCTCCTCCAGACCTAAATCTATCTAATTCATTTGAAAGACCATAACATTTGAACAAAATCATGTTTATGTTCCAGAATGACCCATATTTTATTGATGCATTTCTTTACAACCATACAATTGCATGTGTAGGAGGATAGGTGTATCTACTGCTTGGCTGTTCAATCCATGTTTTCTTATATAGTTTTTATTCTTAAAGAAAAATATTAACTTACCTTGAAAATAGTGATTTTGGGAATTGTCAACCTAGGACTAAACATCCCCTAACATAAAACTAATCAAGGGCTTAATGTTGTCATGTTTTTAGCACATTATATATATATATATATATATATATATATATATATATATATATATATATATATATATATTATATATATATATTTAGCACATTTATATATGCCCTTAAAAATGCTTATATAAAAATCATATTTTTTAATCTATCAACTTACCAATCTATAAGTCTTTGGGTCCTGATTTAATGGGAGTTCCAAATTCTGTTGTCATTATTCAAAGCCTGAAAATAATAATAATAATAATAGCAATGATGATGATGATGATAATAATAATAATAATAATAATAATAATAATAATAATAATAATAATAATAAATAATTAGGTTTTTGGATATTTACCATGTCTTTACAATATCTTAGAAACTATGAATTTAGCTATCAATAATCTTCAGTTGTTAATACTGTTAATAAGAAATATACATATTTTTCTTTCCATGGAGCAATTCTTTATTCCTTTATAATACAGACATTATATAATCATATATTTCTGATGGTGATAGATATGTGTTTATATACTGATTTTTAAATACTATTGGGCCAGCATACTAAAGCACACTCACATGAAAATTTAATGATGAACAATATCATAATGAAGATTTGCCAACTATGTATGTTATCCAAACCAAAAGCATCCCTGCCCATTCACACATTACTAAAGATTTCTGCAAGCCCTGCATGGTCAGAAATCCTTTGTTAGGAGAGGAAGTATAAAGATACATGCAGGGATTGCTGACTTATGCCAAACAGACTTAGCAATGTTTTCTGGCAATGATTTTCTTAACCCTATGTTGCCAGGAAAATCTAGTAGTCACTGTAGTAGTGTTTGGTGAAATAACTGGTAGACCTTGTGACTTCACCTGATTTTACCTTTCCTAGTATTTGTGACAAAAATGTCTATTACTATTGTGATTAATATTGATGCTGTTATTCTTATTAGAGACATTAAAATCATTATAATGTTATCGGCAATCCTAACAGCAATACAAGATCCAGAAAACATTTCCAAAAATCAAGGAAAGTGTAAACTAGTGAGATAGGCAGTACTATCAATTGTCTAATTGGTGACATAGTACTTAAGTAAAAACAATAAACTAAGCTCACAGTGGGCATAGCAGGTCTGTACATGCCACCCCTGGTGGAAGAACTAACAGTTAAGATGTGATTGGCTATTTAATCCATCAACTAGTACTTCCCACTGTATTTCTTTTTGGATTTAAGAGTGAACTAGAGCACATAAATGGCTCCAAAAGTACTCAGTCACCAAGTCAATTACCAGGCTGTACCTGATTTCCTCATTCCTTGAATTTCCAGCATTTTTTATTCTTATGCTATTAACAACATGCCAACGGAGAGGGCATGTGCATACACGCCATGACCACTGTGTGTTTAATTTAGTAATTGTTCTATATATACATGGCTCCACAAGTACTAAGTCATCAATGAGAAAGTTACAAGAAGTACCTGTCTCACCTCTACCCTTTTTCTTGATTTTTTATATTTTCTAGTATTTCAAACTGCTGTTAGTGATGTCAGTAACAACATAGTAATTATAATGTTTATTACAAAAATAATAGTGACTGGGGAAGGAGTAGGGACATTGATCAAGGAAAACAGAGGTGGCTGTTGGAGAAGTAAGAGGAGAAGAATCCAGGGGTTGAGAAAGGGAGACTGGGAAAGGTGGTGAAGCATCCGTAAAAATGTCTGGAGAGGAGGGGTCTGGAGAAGGACACTATTATGATAGAGAGGATTAGTGTGAGTATTCAAGTGGAAGTGGTAGAGAGGGTGGGGTATGTTGGGAGAGTGTAGGAGGAAAGGGGGTGGAGGGAACTTGGGAAGAAGGAGGATGAATATCTGCAAATACTTTAAATGTAGCAGGAGTAAGAACAGAGGGATTGGGGGGTGGATGAGGGAGCGGAGTGTTCCCTTGGATCATCTTTAGGAAGTTTTGGATGTCTTCAAAGGTTTCTGGAGGGGAATTAGGTATAGAGGACTGAGAAACAAAGGTTCCCTTATAAGGAGGAGAAGAGGAGATAGATATCTGAGGAACAGATGAAGAGGAAGGTGTAGGAGAGAATATTGTAAGAGAGCATGGAGTGGAACGTTTAGGTTGCCTGGTATGACAATTAAAGTGAGGGGGAGGGGTAGGTATCTTGGAAGTGGTAGAGACTGGAGTATCTGGATTTAGGATGGAAAATGGATTTGACTGGTGGATAGGGTGAATAGACATAGGATGCAGGTTTTGGGTACAGGGGAAAGATACCTGGGGAGATGCAGAAACATCTTGTGTAGATGGTGGTGGAGCAGAGCGTAGGACTGTTTTGAAATAGGATGAGAGAGAAAAACCTCGTGGTCATGCTTCCTGTCTAGCCTTACGTAGAGTGAGGCCGAGTTTAAATCTGAGAACTGCTACCTCACATTCAAACTTATAAGCAGGGCAGCTCCTAGAAAACACCTTATCCACAATTGGCACATGTATGTGACTAAACAGGACAATTTGAACGGTCATGACCAGGTTTGGCACATGGAGGGCAGCGGGCTATGGAGCAACGATGTTTGGCTGGGTGGCCAAAACGCCAGCATTTCTGACATTGACGAGGAAGGGGTCAATATTGTCAGACATGATAAGGCAATCCACCAATATAAACCTTATGGGGGAGGTCTTGTCTATGGAAGTTCATTTTGGTAATATTGACATGGGATTTATGTTAGCCTCTGGGAGGAAGAGTGTAACACTGTACTGCCAATGCATCATGTTCACCAAGGCAGGAAAGTAGGTAATTTTCACAGTCTGACCAGTCCTTGTTATACATGGGACAAGCATTTGGGGGAATAGAAATAGTTCCAGTACAAGTAATAAGAGTTGGGTGAGGTTCGGCAGGAATGGGTTTGCCAGGAAGGTCAGTTAGGGTAGATAGTGCACGAGCTTGGGCTTCAGATGTAACCATGACAAGGCGTTAATGATCATAGAGACTGCAAAAGGTAACTTTGCCTACTTGTTTCTGGAGGCACTGCTGAAAGAGAAGGGTATTCTCAGAATAGGGGGCTGTGAGGGAATCACAAAGAATCGATCCCACGTGGCTGGGCCAAATAGAGTACTCAGAAGGATTGCAGAGGTAGTAAATGGCAGTAAAAGGACGTGGGCGAGAGGAAGATGGGGTGGTGTGGAGTAGAGTAGTTCTGCAGGGGGGAGGAAAATAAGGATGATGAGTAGTAATAAGGAAAGAGGGGGTTGACATTGAAGAGGGTTGTGCAGTAGAAGAGGAGAATGTTGAGGATGAGGAACAGGTGTTTTCTAGGGGTTGAGTAATAACCTGGGTGGGTGTTTCAGAATGGTTAGAGTTGTTCATAAGCGTCGAAGAAGGGGTATCAGCATCAGTGGTCAGAGCTGTGGTCAAAGGAGGGGCAGGGGTTGGAAAACCATCAAAATCAAATTCAGATAGGCTATTTGATGAAGGGGCAAGCCTTAATGCCTCTACTAAGGGTAAAGAATCTTCAATACTGGCCATGTTGAGCCTAAACAAACTGGGGAAAAGAAATGGTCTACCCCTCAGAGTCCCCATAAGGGGTAAGGGCTAGGTAATTAACCAAAGGAATACCGTACCCATGGCTCCCAGAGGCCGTTCATAACTGACACAAAGCCAGCCTTTCATCCTTTCAGCACAGCTCTCACACCTTAGGAATGGAATAGAAGAAAGGAATAAGGAAGATACGGAAGAGGAAAGAAGAGAAGAAAGGTCCAAGCAAAATTAGTTAAGGCAAGGGCTAAGGCCCCAGGTATGGTTATCCTCTACATTGGGTCTGAGTCCTCGTCTCCTAATCCCTCCCACAATGACAACAAGCTAGTTTTGGGAGAGTATTTCAAGAAAAGGTGAGGTCACAAGGTCTACTAATTGACTCCTATCTATGCGCAGAAACATTTTAGCAAACAATACTAAAGTGAATGCAACACCTTCCCAGTAGCATTGGGTTAATATCAGTAAATATTATCGTTATTAGTATTTATATTATATCAAATTCCAGTCACAATTTCTAAAATCTTTCCAAAAAGCAAAGAAAAAGATAAATGTGTGAACACAATTATAAACAAAAATTACAACAGTGGACATTGCATTATGTAGCCATTGAGTTAAAGAGAATGAAGATAATTCTTTTATGAAATAATAATCTAATAAATTGGATTTCCCTTAAAATATTGAGCAGTCTCCTCTTTTCACCTATTCAAGACAGGATGATGACCTATCATGTCTTGATAGATTAACCCTCACATTGGAATGAAACTTTAAAGTCATGCAGAGTAAAGTCTGCTCTAAACATTTGTGAACTTGTTGGCCCTTACTGCTGTCACTGAGGAAAGTCAGACCCTCAAAAGAACACTTAAAGCCTCTTTTTAGCATCAGTACCTAAGCATCTGCTGATGATTGCCAAAAGCAAAGACCTTCTAATTTTTCTCTTAAGCAGCTGATACTGTACACGCCTTAGCACATACTGATGTGTTGTTGGGGACTTTAAGAATTACTGAAATTTATATATGCATATGTATATATCCAGCTTGGTTTCTCACTCAGTTTTTCTCAGTCATAATGGGTAATGGTTGAAACAAATAAATGGGCTAGACAACAAAGGTCATATAGCACTATCGTAAAGTACTGTGGTAAAGGGTAAAAATGAGTTAACGAATAGGATGAAATGTGTTATATGTCAAAGGTTATACAGCATTATAGAATAGCATGATAGTAAAAAAGGTAAAGAGGGGTTGCAAATGAAGTAAATCAAAGATTAGTAAAGGAAAGTGCTAAGGGCATGAGTCAACTGGATGAAACCGAGTGTATCTGTGGCTGGGGAAACTATAGGAACATTGTTTAAGGAAAACTGGTAAAAAAGGTATTATGAAACAATCAATACAGGTAGAGATGGCTGTTAGAGAAGTAGCAGGAGAAGAATCTGGGGAATGAGATAAGGGGACTGGGGAAGGTGGTGAAGTATCTAGAAGAATATCAGGAAGGGAGGATTCTGGAGCACACTGTTGCATTAGCAGGGATTCATGTAAGCATTCAGGTGGGAAAGATAAGGATAATGGGGAACAAAGAAAAGGATGGAGAGTGTTGGGAAAGAGTGGGAGGAAGAAAATTAGGGGAACTTGAAAGGGAGGAGGATGGATATTAGGAAATATTTTGAATATACAGGGAATAGGAATAGAGGGATTGGAGAGTGGATGAGGGATTGGAACATTCTCTTGGGTCATGTATATGAATATTTAGAAGACTTCATGAGTTTCTGGAGGGGAATTGGGTAAGGACGTCTGAGAAACAAAGGTTCTCTTGTGAAAAGAATGGACAGATGTTTGAGGAGCAGAGGAAGAAGAGGGTGTAGGAGAGAATGTGGTAGGCAAAGATGGACTGGAAAGTTTAGTTTGGTGCAACAGGTAAAGTGAGGATGTGAGGTGGGCATTGGAGAAGTGGTAGAGATTGGACTATCTGGACTTAGAATGGAAAAGGAATTTGCCTGGGGGAGAGGGTGAGTAGAGGTAGGGAAGAAATAATGGGGGAGATGCAGAGACATCCGGAGAAGATGGGAAAGGAGCAGAGCAAAGGACAATTTTGGAATAAGAAGAGAGAAAAACGTCATCATGACTGTGTAGCCGACCCCCGCAACCTGCAGCTCGGTATACTTCCCCCAGGTTGGGTCCAGGCCCACAGCCTGTCCTCTCAACCTCACCATCAGCAGCTTCTCAAAGACGCATACAGAGACCTGATTGGTTGACCACGGACACCTCATGGCTCGCCTATTGGACCGCAGGCTCCCTTCGTTCCCGGGTGGCTAGCACAACTCAGACCCACTTAAGCTCTCCAGCACACCAGCCATACCTGTGGGCACTCACACCCATACACAAAAGCTCCTTAAAGAGATGATTGACACTAGTCTATGACGGATGCAAATCCACCGCCATACTGGTGACTTTCCGGAGTGACACAAATACCCAGCCTTCTGGAGTATCACGGTTATCGTTCACTCACTTAGCTCCCTTACTGGAGGGGGAGCACCTGTAGCCGACCCCCGCAACCTGCAGCGCGGCATACTTCCCCCAGGTTAGGTCCAGGTCCACAGCCTGTCCTCTCACCTTCACCATCAGCAGCTTCTCGAAGACGCATACCGAGACCTGACTGGTTGACCATGGAGACCTCACGGCTCGCCTATTGGACCGCAGGCTCCCCTCGTTCCCGGGTGGCTGGCACAGCTCAGACCCACTTAAGCTCCGGTGCCCGGGCCGAGTTCAGCACTCACGATCCTCCACCTGAGCAAGACACAGCAAACAGCAACCAGGCCTACCCAGGCCTTTGCCGACAGGTGAGCCGCCCGGCTCTCCCCATCAATCTCCAGCACACCAGCCATACCTGTGGGCAATCACACCCACACACAAAAGCTCCTTAAAGAGATGATTGACACCGGTCTATGGCAGGTGCAAATCCATTGCCATAACTGAAACACAGCCAGCCTTTCATCTTTTCAGCATAACTCTCACACCTTTGGAAGTGGACAGAAGGGGATGAAGAAGAGAAAGAAAAGGAAAGGGGGAGAACAAAAGACCATACAAAATTAGTTGAGGCAAGGGCTGAGGCCTAAGGTAGGGTAAATCTCCTACATTAGGTCTGTCTACACAACAGCAGAGAGCAACAGATTTGGGGATCTAAATTGATCTAAAGTGAGCTCAGTATTGTTATATATAATAATTTATACTTCTCTTTTTACAGAGTTCTTATTTCACCAAATTCAATTATTTTTGTATATTTTAAGTCATGAAGTCTGGGCAAGAGGTTGGAGAACATCTCTTATCTTTCTTGGGTAATTCTTAAAGGAATAATTTTCTAGGTTTATGCTATTTCACTTTACAGTATGAATTCATGAATGGAACTCTATGGTAAACTGAAGATTACCTGTATTAAATCCACATATCATTAGTACTTTTGTCAAAGTTATGCACACAGAACTTACATACTATTTCAGTTTCTGATGATAGTAAAGAGTCTATTATAAGAATGTTCTATGTGAATGTATCCATCTGAAGTTAGGTCCCTATTGCTCCAGCCAAGAGCCTTGGAGGCACTCTTGGCAAGTCAGTGATATGATCACCTATATCTAAGATTGTCAGTGAAGCAAACACCTTCCTAACACAGGCTTTGTCCTCAGACCCCCACTCAATCACAGCATTTCCTTAGCATGGGAATCTGCACACAACCCTCATCAAATAGTGTTTCAACTGCAAAAGCCCGCGGTACCAGACCACATATGCCTCTCGTTTGAGTAACACCATGCATAGTACAAGGATTTATTTCCTGTTCTCACCACACTTTCATGTTTCATGGTGTATTTTTTTTAAAGAAAGAACGGAAATCAATTTCCTAATATAAAATTAATGCCAGTGTGATGGTGCTGATATTCAAAGAATTCTCCACGTATTCACAACAGGAGAGAGAGCATCAGGCAAGCTTGGCACCACCGCTCCTGCATGGCAGTCGTACACTCTCTCCTGCTATGAATCATTTTTCTGGGCATGGGATGGGGGCGTTGCAGGGTGCTTTTAGCCAATATAGACTGATTGTGTACATTATTCACATTTTATAGTTAATCTTTATGGTGTGGATGCACTATGTTGGGGCAATTTGAATATGAAAGTCTTGTAAAGGACAAAACATTGCAGTTATTGGTACAAAAAATAATCTGAAGACACGAACAGCAATGGAACATATAAAAGGAAAAAGCACCACTCTCAGCCTAAGTCCACTCAGTGCTCCTGCATTTCAGCTCTATCTTGCTGTACACATTGAGGTGAAGACAATGTTTCCTGGGGGGTGTTGGGGTGCAAAGCCCCCCATCAACCCTCCTCTCAGGCTACCCAATCATGGTAACTTAGATTGATGGCATGTGTCCATACTGTAAAGAACTACCCATATTACCCCACTATTTCCATTACACTTTTCATGCCCTCCCCTGCTATCAGGGCCAATAATGTGGGGGTTTGGGGGCTTCCATTCCACACAATAATTTCTTTATAACTGGACACTAGAGAGTGAGAGGAATCCAACAATACCAAAATCACCACAATCCTTTTGGTAGAACCATCAGAAAAAATTATAATTTCTTCATAAATCAATGAATGAAGTTTTTGAGTGCCCTTATATTTTCCTTAACTTAGTGCAGACAGCATGTAAAAATTTACCAAAATAATCACTTAGTAAACAAATCTGAAGGCATTATTCAAAATGAAAAATGTTGGCAAATCGGTATGATAATTCCCTACATATATAAGGTTGTTACTAATAGCCACTGTCAGTAATAACAAATAATTACTGGGAACATTATTTGAAATGCCTATGCCATCTGCCAATTTACCCATAATAAAGAATAGAAACAAAATACTAGTATCTCCAACATTTCCATCCCTGTATACCCATCAACATTTCCATTCCTGTTAGGTGCATACCGAAAATTACCCCGCTGTTTCCAATGAAGAATTGGTATTTCAATTTCGATAATAAACAACTTGTAACAAACCGGTACACAAACACCGACAAAAATTACTATCACATCTGTACTACTAAGTACAAGTAACAAAACGAAAATAATACATACTATGTATCAAAATACTGTTATCGTTGTCAATCTGTTTGTTGTCCTTACAGATGTCTGACACCGCTGCTACACCCAGTTCCTCTTGAGACGTGACAAATAACTAAAAACAAAATGCACGAGTAAAAAGACAATTACAAGCTTCAAATATGTATCAGCGTCGAGCTTTCGCCTAGTATGACAGATCTGCTGATCTCAGCGACGCGTTTTCGTATTTACTAATCAGCAACTTTTCCAGGGATGCGATTGGTGGAGTCTCGGGCAATCCATAGAAAACGTTTGACAATAAAGGGATGACTTAAGGCAGCGACAATTTTTCAGATTATTTATTATTTTGCTTGTACACGAGATTAGTGATTGTGTCTTCAAAATGCATATTCTCAGAATACTTTGAGGTTATTCATTGTTAGTAATCGTAAAATTAGGTCAATTATTTCCTCCTGAGTTACGATTGGTGGTCTCTTGGGCAATCCATAGAAGGCGTGCACATAAAGGGATGGTCAATAAGGTAGCATCAACAATGCCACCACCGAGTTACATTATTATGTTTTCAGCAAGATTATAATCTAAATGATTTACGAGGTTATTAACTGTTAAACATACGACCTGTATGATAAATTAATGTAAATCAACGTTCTTTTATTTGCTTTCTTTCAGCAACTCGTGTATATATTTTCCAGATCGGATCAGCCATCTCGATCTCGCCCTGTACTCTACACCCTCGGCATGTCTACCCTGATCACATACATAAGCCTCCCATTTGACCTTCATTTTCTCCTCCCGAATTGCCACCTCATTCTTGTCCTTTTCTCAATATATTCAAACCTTCGTAATCTCGCTTTGTTTCCAAAACCGTCCTACCGGTTTTCTCTAATATTCAGTCAGGGGTTCCTTTTTCATTCTGTGGCCCCCGGCCAATATATAATAATTTCCATGGCCCCGTTCAGTGATTGCCATCTTCTCAGAATCAAATATTTACTAGTTGTGAATACAGTGATGGTATCAATAGCTATAGGGTAAGAACACTTTATAGAAAGATTCCAATTTACTGATATATGAGAGATAATTATATGAAGGTACTGTAGGTGAGATAAAATTCAGTTTAATTCGACGTTATAAATTTCATATTGCTCCATGGTCCTCCAAAATGTACCCCGCGGCCCTCCTGGGGGTCATGCCCCACAGGCTGGGAACCTATGCACTAAAGAGTGGATCCTTCGTATTCAAATTCATCTCACCTCTCAACCCATATTCCTTGCAGCTGGGCTGTTCCACCACTCACTCTCATTTACGTACACAGTTTATCTTACTTGTAGTCTGTATCACCCGGGTCATTCACACATCCCTTAACTTATCCTTGAAAAATCGATATCATTCTCTTTTACATGCCTACAGTATCCTCTTACTTTCTAACACTTTGTTAGCAATCTGGTTACAAATTGCCGTGTCTCTCAAACACCTTTACCTTCATGGGTATGTAATTTGGACCACCTGCTACTGCACTTTATATATTCGTTGTCTTTACTTCTTCCTTGCTATTCTATTTAATTTCGTTATTACTCCTATCCACAATATACAATTTTCTCTTTATCTTTATATCCTCATAATTCACCATTCCACCCCGTGTATAGCATCAAATTCTCTCTGTTTTGGCCTGTAGATTCTTCTAGTTGTAATAAATTCCTGTATAGGTATAGTATTTTGTACATTTTCCCATATTTGAGTAGTGTCGTCCAAATTGTTTGCTGTACCCTTTAGGTGTTTTTTCTTCAGTACCCATGATTGCATTCTATATTTTTGAAAAGACAATGCAAATCGTCATAATCTCACGTTTTGATATTTTTTCTGTTAAAGAAGATGAACGAAATAACTCAAAAATATTTGAAAATTATCTACAACTCAATGAGGAATGTGGGACTGACTGCCACAGTCCCATATAATGACTTTAAACCTTCAGCCCTACAACACACTCACTATGAACCATCATCATATGGGGGCTAACGCCGACGGGGGCGCGTAGCCGCATCCACCCTTCGCTTCCACCTTTTGGGGTCCCTCATGGCAAGCCGCCAGGCAGGGACTCGGCCCATCTCGAGCTCCTCACGGCAGGTTTGATCAATCTTCCCAAGCCACGACCTCCTAGGTCGTCCCACAGGCCTCCTCCACCCAGGACTGTCTCGTACAGAGACAACCTGGTGGGCAGGATCATCCTGGGGGAAGCGAGCCAGGTGGCCGTATAGTTTGAGTTGGCGATCCCGGATTAAGCAGGTAACAGGTCCTGCGCCAGTCTCACGGTGCAACCGTTGGTTGGACACGTGGTCCCGCCAACTATACCCCATGATCCGACGCAAGGACCTATTACAGATGGCATCAAGAAGTGACTCCAAGGCACAGAATAATGTCCAGGTTTCACTACCGTATAGCAAAACTGGCATTATCAAGGCCTTGAAGACATGTAGCTTGGTCCTTCTGCACAGGTACCGGCATCTCCAAATACTCTTGTCGAGAGAGTTCATGACCCCTGCTGCCAGGTCAATCCGTCTGCTGACTTCCTGGTCTGACAGCCCAGAGTTATGAACTACACTACCAAGGTATGTAAAGCTCACTATAAATAGTCGTATACTTTTTAGATAAATCAAATTTACAGGTTCGGTGTCGCATTTTCTCAAGTACCATATGTAGTATATTCTATAAAGAGATGCAGGTGCATTTTCTATTGTTGAATAAAATATTAGCTTGATAATGTATTTTTGTATATTGTTTTATGCAATTCAATAAACAAGAAAGTAACCTAGGGAATCTTATAATCACCAGACTGATCTTATGCACTATAATTGTAATCTAATATTCATCCGTTTATGATAGTTTATGGTCCAATTTTATTGTTTATATCCGTTTTCTTTATCATCTGATTTTTAGAGACGGCAGAAATGCTGCTCCGGAAAAGCGGTCATCCCTGGTCATGTTATTGAAACACCGTGGAGTTTACAAGTAACTGTCTGTCGAGATTTCTATTTTTTGTAGTCTTATAGTTTTAATCAAACCCTATACTCATTTATAAATAAACTTTGGTGTAAAAAATGCGTTCGTTGTCTTTCAGTTTTGTTGACAAGAAACAGCTGATCCAAATCGAAACAGGTGGACTTGTCGCCAGACACCGTAGAGGGAAACAGTGACTCCCAGATTTACAAAACTTGGTGAGATTTAAAATGGAAAATATCTAAATTGACCCAGGAGAAGACCCTGGTATAAATTCTGAAATAGAAATGGAAACATTAAACAAAAGCAAAAGAAAAAACAACACTTTCAAAACTCCCGCGATACGAAACAAAACCTTCAAACTTCACGCCAAATCAAGAAGAGACATCTACAACACAGAACAACAACAAACACCGACAACAGCTGAGAACAACGACAACAGCTGAGAACAACGAAACGCAAGTAACCAAGCAAAACGAATCATAAAAGAATTAACCACCCAAATCTGAATTTTAAGATAACAGATACAATAAACAAATCTGAATTTTAAAAGTACATAAAAGAAAACACACTCCGAGAGTCCTGGGTACAGGAAAAGCAACCCGTTTTGAAGTGTATGATTTACAAAAAATAAAACCTCTGCACGAAATACACTTTCTTGGCAATTGGAAAGTTAATTGCAGACAGTCAGCTTCAAGGAATAACTTAGGCTGTTCCTACGGAACAATATGGACATTCAAACCATTAAAGAAAAAAATTGATCCATAGGGGGCCAAAACTCTAACAGTACAGAGGTAATAAGAATAATAAAGAAAAATAAAGAAATAAATAGTACTGAAAAATGGGTACCAACAAAATCAATTAGAATAACTTTTCAAGGAAGATTGCCAGAAAGGGTAGTTACAGGGCACATCTTTTATTTAGTACATCAGTATACATTCCCAACTCCCAAGTGTTACAAATGTCAAAGGTATGGTTATGGAATAATGACATGTAAAAACAAACAAAGATGTAGTAAATGCAGTGTTTCAACCATACATTTAAAGACCGCAATAATAACCCTTACTTTTTTTACTGCAAGGAAAACCATGCCCCAACAGATATAACATGTAAAACATGAAATAGATCAGGAAATAAACAAAAACAACACAACACCAAACAACCTAGAAGTTAAAAAACAGCTACAACAGCTGAAGCCAATAACAAACAAGTAATTAATTCAACAAAAAGATGAAACAGTTTCAGAAACAAGAAAAAACAACATACAAATAGGAAGAAGCCCACAAGACACAAATACTACAAATAAACCACAAATGAGCACTCAAAACTAAACTAACACACACACAAACCTTAAATCAAGAACAAAGCTTAACACTAGGTCAGAGAACCCCAACAAAACAAGAAAGACAAAAACAAAGCAAAGTAACATTAATCACGACAGAAGAAAACAAACACACTCCAAATAAGATACAAAGTTTGGACAGAAATAACACCGAAAACAAAAATATAGAACAGTCTCCAATAACATGGACACTTCCAAAACCTATACAAAAAACAAGGACACAAAAAACAGACATTGATAACAAAGAAAATGAATTTTTGTGGACTTTTGCAAAAATCATATACAAAATTATAACGAATATAATGAACAACATAAAAGGAGAAAAAACAATAATAACAATAATTACAGGAACATTTATAAACATAGGACCACTCATCAAAGAGTTGTTAGAATATATAAATGGATGAAATAATTTTATGGAATCCAAGACAAATATTAAACAAAGAAATAGAATTAAAATTTTTAGTATACAAAGAAAACCCAGACATAATAGCATTATGCGAAACATGGCTGAAAGGAAAAGACAAACTCAAAATTCAGAATGTTGATACAATAAGAAAGGATAGGGAAAAGCAGTTAGGTGGAGGGTTAGCTTTTCTTATAAAGAATAACATAGTTTAAAAATGCAAATTTAAGAATCAAAACCAAAATCTTGAAGTCCAGGGAATAAAGATCCCATACAATAGCAAGTGGCTAAATATATTATTAATGTACAATCCATGCAATAACATCTCAAAAGAAGGCATAGAATATTATTCATACCAAATGGAAGAGCCAAAATTAATTATAGGAGACTTAAACGCACACCACCCACTTTGGGAAACCAAATCAAACTCAAAACTAACTACCAAAATAAGAAGAAGT